TTGTCTATTTCAGATGTTAAATAGTGTTGCAGGTACGCTTTTGGTATTCAACTTTAAACTTCTCATTTTACCCTTAATGACATGATTTATAGTCACAGAAACGTCAGGATTTGTTTAAGGCCATAATTTTCATAAGACTTGCCTTCTCTTGAGCAATGGGTCAGATTTTTGTCCCCTTAGGGGTCGTTTAGTATGATGGATAAGCAAAAATAGTCCTGGGATAAAAATTTAGTATCACCTTATCCCTTGTTTGATTACTACTATGGGATAAGTTACCCCGGGATCAAAAATAATATCGGGTTAACTTATACCTGCCAGATGGTGGAATAGTAATTCAGGACAAAGAGCCCGTTTGGCTTAGCTGATTTAGAGTAGCTGATAAGCATAGGTACTGAAAAGCACTTTTAAGTGCTGAAGCTGATTTAAAAAATAAGCAGTTACGTGTTTGGATAAAAGTGCTGAAATTAATAATAAGCAGCTAAAAAATTGGGTATACAAAGAGTTTTGTTTTTAAAAAGAAGTATTTAAAGGATAGAATAGTAAATATTTTGGTCAAACCTAAAGTGCTTATAAGCTGAAATTTGATAAGTTGGGGGAGACCAACTTATGGCTTTTGGCTTATTTTTGGCTTATAAGCACTTAACTTATAAGCACTTTTAGTTTTACCAAACGCGTAAATAAGCCAAAAAGTGCTTATAAGTCAGTTTGACCAGCTTATAAGCTTAGCCAAACACCCTCAAAGTAGTAAAATTGACAATCCAAGGATTAATACAATATACCAAACAATCAGTAAGAAATAATACCAGGATAACTAATCAACATAACTAATCCCATCATACCTTGTCTTCAAACCAAACGACCCCTTAGTGACTTGAATTGCCAACATAATGTTGTCTTTCACAATGATTCATCGATCAAAGCTCAATGTGGAACTTATGTTTATATAATCCTACGATAGGACTTCGTGAATACTTTTCTCAAACTGATGAGAGGGCTGCTGCTCCAAGAATACCAGTTATGGTTAATATGACCTCACCATCTATCTCTTCCAAGAAGAGCCAAAAACAGTCTCATCATCGTACTCCATCTTTAGACCAAATACGCGCTGCAAATAGAAATGCATCGATGATGGATGAGTACTCTGATGAAGACGAAGATTTTCAAGGCACTGATCAAGAGGTATGAAATATTAGATACTTTTTCATATTATTGTCAGTGCCGCGTTCTGAGCATGTGCTTGGACTCCTTGTAGGTATCATCACCCGGCCTTGACCAAGACACGATTAAAACTGGTAGGTGTCTGAACATATATTTATTAGTAAAAGGTGTTTCGCGAATTCTTTAGTGAAAATCTTTTTGTACTTCTGAAGCACTTGAAGAAGAACCTCTGGACCAAATTGATTTGTCCACTTTTTCGGGTAATCTTCGACGAGATGAGAATGACAATGGTCGCGACTGCTGGACAATATCTGATGGAAAGAACTTCAGACTTCGTGGCAAGAATTTTTGCAGTGACAAAACAAAGGTCCTTATCTATTGTTTCCTTGATAAGTTCTTGGTTTTAGGTCCAACGGTCTATGTCATTCGCTCTAATATCATCTTTGCGAATTGTCTATGAAGGTTCCAGCTGGTAAACCTCTCATGGATCTCGTCGCAGTTGACTGGTTCAAAGATACGAAACGAATGGACCATGTCGCTAGACGCCCTGGTTGTGCAGCACAGGTAGTAATAAATTTGAGTAGTTTCAAGGAAATGTCAAACCATTTAGATATTACTAGTTTCTAGGTTTGACGGAGAGCCTTGGAGCAACGATAAAGTTGCCTCCGTGTGACCTATAGACCACGAGTTCGATCCGTGGAATCAGCCATTGGCGCTTGCGTCAAGGTAGGCTGTCTACATCACACCCCTTGGCGTGTGGCCCTTCCCCGGACCGTGCATGAACGTGGCATGCTGTTTGTAGTGATTAAAGGGTGTCCATGTTTTCACTTATCTTTATACATCTACTTTTTTTTTAGGTTGCTTCAGAAAAAGGACTCTTTTCTTTGGTTATAAATTTGCAAGTAAGTTATTTCTCCCCTGCTTTCCATTTCTTGATTCAATGTTTCAAGTCCTACAGAAAGAAATAAGCAGACAAAATTTGGTTTCTGAAGGTACCTGGATCAACACACTACAGCATGATTTTCTATTTTGTCATGAAAAAGTTAATACCTGGTTCGCTCTTACAACGATTTGTTGATGGCGATGATGAGTTCCGGAATAGTAGAATGAAGCTAATCCCATCAGTTCCAAAGGTATTTTTATTTCTTTAAACTATCTGGAAGAATGCTTCTGTTTGTAGATTGTTAATGAGATGACAGTAGTGTTAATAGACAAACACCAAATAACGACGACATACCCAGTGTAATCCCACAAATGGGGTCTGGAAGAGGGTAGTATGTATTCAGACCTTAACCTATCTTGTGAAGGTACAGAGGCTGTTTCCATAGACCCTCGGCTCAAGGAAAGCAGAAACAAAAATCATTTGGTTTCATTAAACTAGCTATATGTTGTGATTTAACAACAAATCCTATGTAAGGCGGCAAGATGGTATCTTGAGTAGTTACATTTCCAAAAATTCGAGTTCCTTACTGCAGCATTGTTATCACTATCGTATAATCATCCCATAGTCATGTTATTTGCAGCTCTTTGCCATAACAAGTTTGATTCTACTTCATTCATGTCGCCACGGGACGAGCCAGGATTTGAAGTTTATGAGTTCTAAATTTGCCACCAAACTCATAGCTCGTCTTAATTACTGGGTTCACAAGTAAATACTTATACCTATTTAATGGATTTCCCAACACAAACACATGATCTAACACAAAAGCTACCGGGTTCATCCGAACCCATACCTAATACTCTAGCTCTGCCCCTGCATCTCACCTCTTATATTCTGTTAAAAAGGATGAATAAGCTGAGATTTGTGGGTAATATTTGAGAGGTTTAGCTTTCTTTTATATAGATGTTAAAGTTATCATCTGATTAATTCTAACCATCTGCTATACTCGTCGTCCATCTTCTTCTGAAACTCTCTTGGCTGTTTGCATTTGTGTAGAAATTTACTGTTAGCATGCATCTTGCAGGGATCGTGGATTGTACGTCAGAGTGTTGGAAGTTCCCCTTGTTTACTGGGGAAAGCAGTTGATTGCAACTATATACGCGGTCCCAAGTATTTGGAGGTGAAGACTCCTACCCTTTTTCCTTTTGAGCATAGCACATAGAGACACAATACAAACAACTACTAAGTCTCAATCCCGAGCAAGTAGAGCTCAGCTATATGAATCCTCACTGTCATTCCATTTAAGCTCGTCTCTACGCATTATCATAAAACTTCAGTTTCTCCAACACTAAAAGCTATGGAGTCAGATTTGATTTCATATGTTGCTTGCATTCTGCAGATTGATGTTGATGTTGGTTCTTCCACTGTGGCAAATGGAGTAATGGGGCTTGTCATTGGCGTAATCACGACACTAGTAGTTGACATGGCTTTTGTTGTACAGGTAAGCGGATAGAGTAATTACGACATGTTATCTTTTAGCTGATCTGATAGTATAAAGATTCTTATAAATTGTCAGCGTATAAAAGTTAAACTCTTGTATGTTGCCACAATCATTGACGTCTTTGGAAATTTTCTGTTAGGGCAACACCCCTGATGAGTTGCCGGAGGCGCTTATAGGCGCAGCGCGTGTTTGTCATATAGAACTGTCATCTGCTGTTGTACCAAAGCTGGAGTCTGATACATCAACAGAATAGGTCATATCATGACTGTTTATCAATTTTGCAGAAGGTGAGTTTTGAAGATATGTATAATTTACTTACAGGTATTTCATTCATAATTTTTTCATTTCTTTACTCTCATTTGAGTACTGTTTAAGCTCTGAGAAAATTATATGGAGCCAAGTTTTGTATAGTAAATGTAAAGACTGGTATTTATAAGGTCTTTCAATTTTCTGATAAAATTTATTATTCTTTTCTCTTCCTTCGTGTATTGATAACCTTAAGTTGGCTTTCATTTTGCTCCTCGGATTAAAATCTTAGCGGCTCAAGGCTTGCCCTACCCCGCCCTACTACAGATTATGTTTGGTTTCAGTAAATAGGAATGGCAAATGGGGTAGGACAGGGCGGGGCAAGGCAAGAGTTTGCATTTTTTTTTAGTGGATTGTCATTGCTTGATATAGTGTCAAAGGATCCTACTACAATCATTATTCATTAAGTTAAGACAAAAAACCACCATATCTTTGGAGCTCCTCGGCGCAACGGTAAAAGTTGCCTTTGTGTGACCAAGAAGTAACGGGTTCAAGCCCTCAAAATAGCCACTTGCCTAAATGAAAGGCGAGACTGCGTACAATAGACCCAATGTGGTCCGGTTCTTCCTGACTTGCTTATAGCCTGTTTGTCAAGCTTCTAAAATCAACATACTTTGAAAAGTGTTTTTTTTTCTAAAGTACTTCTGGTGAAAAGCAGTGTGTATTTGGCTAATTAATTGAAAAAATACTTTTGAACAACAATTAATGTTTGACCAAACTTTTAAAAAGTGCATTCAAGTGTATTTTTTTCAAAAGTACTTTTGCAGAGAAGCTACTTTTTTCTGCTTCTCCAAAACTACTACTACTTCAAATGCACTTTTTTTTACTTCTAAAAGCTTGGTCAAACACGGGAAAAAAACATACTTTTGGCCTTGGAGAAGTTTGGCCAAATAGCCTATTAGCTTGCAAAATAACAATATCTTTACACCTCATTGACTGTGGCAGTTACCTTTCAATCTTTACTGAAACCAAACATAATCTGTAACCAGAAAATTTTGTATGGGGCAAATAGCCTATTCCTGTTTTCTATAACAACAGGAATTTTAGGACTTCAATCCCAAATTAGATTATTAGATGTATTTCGAGACATTTGGGATAAAAAATAACTAAGACTGCAAATATCAAAAAATGAGCTGTTTATAAAAGGAGAAGTTATAAAGATAAGAAAACACGATCATATAAAGAGGTTTTGGTAGTTCATTGATCAATAATCAGTCAATCAACTAAGAGTCTAATCCCAATCCCATTCTAGTTGGGACCAGCTATTTGTATTCACTCCGATGAATGACAGTTCAAATTACAAGTAATAGAATGATTTGCTCATGGATCAATAGTAGCTCTGAATTCGCGAATGAAGAAAGAATATGATGAATGTGCACTCAATTTTGCAAGACAACAATGTCATCAATTGGAGGCTTTAAGAATGAGAAATTTGGTGGCAATTTAATAAGAGGCTCATCTCCAGTTAGCCTCTGGAAGGCAAGTCCAAGTGCATACCCGAGCGCTCGCCCAACAGGAACTGCTACAGCATTCCCAACTTGGCAATATCTACACCAAATGAAAAACACTATGAAGAACTACTTGTAAAGTAAAAGATATAAGGAACAACTTGAGTAGTTTGACTCATATAATGTGAATGACATCAAACCAAAATGTGTTGGGAGGAATCATTTGCTAAAGGTTAACTCTTTACCACTTTTTCATTTTTAATGGTAAATATTGTTAACTATTTACCACTTTTGAGATGTACGTATAAGAGAAGATCTTGGCTGCAATTACTTCAATGAGATCCAATAAATGTGATAAATTACAACAATGAATTAAGTTCATTCCACAATTTAAGGTTAGTGCATTAACAATTTAGTAATAATTCGCAACACCCCTTCCACGTAGCTGCTTTTCCAATTTGAACATCATTCTCTTGTATTTTGGTCTTGTAGTGAAAGGAGAAAGATTATGTAACACAACTAAAAAAAATTGGTTTCAAATATAATAAAAATCACAGAGACATTTCTCTCATAGAGACGAAGGCTGCATTTATATATGTTTTCTTTTCATTGCCTTAAGATCTTTTAATTAGTTACTGAAATTGACAAGCTAATAAAATTACTTTCATCAGAAAACAAGATACCTTTCCTTGGGAGTGCCAGAAAACCTATAGAAATCTGGAAAACCTTGCAATCTTGCATACTCTCGTATAGTAAGAACACGATCCTGCTCTGGGTGTAAGACCGCCTGAAAAATATAGAAAGCTTAGAAAAGCCTACAAGTTCTATATTGCATATTTTATTGTAAAAATAACATCTAGACTTAAGGGTAAATTTTATAGAGTGGTGGTCCGACTAACTATGTTGTATGGAGCTGGGTGTTGGCCAGTCAAGAACTCACATGTGCAGAAGATGAGAGTAGCTGAGATGAGGATGTTGAGATGGATGATTGGTTTTACCAGGAGAGATAAAATTAAGAATGAAGTAATTCGGGACAATGTGGGAGTGGCCTCCGTGGAGGACAAGATGCGGGAGTCGAGGCTGAGATGGTTCAGGCATGTTAAGAGGAGAAACATTGATGCTCCTGTTAGGAGGTGCGAGAGGTTGACCATGGCGGACTTGAGAAGAGGTCGAGGTAGGCCAAAAAAGTACCGGGGAGAGATGATTAGGCAGGACATGGCGCTGCTCCACCTTACTAAGGACATGACCCTTGATAGGAAGGTGTGGAGGTCGAGAGGGTAGAAGGGTTGTAAGTAGTTAATAGTTTCTCTTTTTCTTACTTGTAGTATTAGTAACAATCATGTCCCTTCATATTCTTAGATTTATATTACGTCATGTTGTTTAGTTCGCTTCCGTTATCGTATTTCCTTGTTGTTACTATTTGGTACTACTTATTCTTTTTTTTCTTCTCTCTTGATTTTCCTCTTCTCCTTCTCCTTCTCCTTCTCCTTCTCCGTCTCCGTCTCCGTCTCCGTCTCCGTCTCCGTCTCCGTCTCCCTCTCCGTCTCCCTCTCCCTCTCCCTCTCCCTCTCCCTCTCCCCCTTCCCCTTCCCCTTCCCCTTCCCCTTCCCCTTCCCCTTCTCCTTCTCCTTCTCCTTCTCCTTCTCCTTCTTTCTCTTGTTCTTCTTCTCACCTTCTCTGAGCCGAGGGGCTATTAGAAACAGCCTCTCCACCTTAACTAGGTAGAGGTAAGGTTTGCGCACACACTACTCTCCCCAGATCCCACCTGTGGGAATACACTGGATTTTTTGTTGTAATAACACCACAAAGTACCTGGGCACGATGATTAGGAAATGTCACTAAAGTTGCCACTGTTTCATCCCACCACAATCTTGCATATGGCCTACAAATTCAAAAAGGATTTAGTATATATATTGGATATTATCAATAAAAGGAGATATAACAACAAAGTATCTGTATAACAAGCTTCTAAGGAAACATGCATTACCTTTTAGACTTTCCATGTTCAAAATTGAAGGCACAATCAGGAACCTACATTTCACAAGAATGATTCCTATTAGCATGAATGACACGTTATTATGATAAGTTACAAATTCATCATAATAAAGTCAGTACTTTTTAACAGAACAATAGTAACAAATAGCCTACCATGGGCTTTCCATTTGGTAGCACCTTTGGATCTTCTGTATCACGACGAGCCACATTATCCTTTCCCACAATTACACCAGGGAGGTCCCTGAAGTTCGCTCCCTACAATGGAAATATGTTACAAGGGGCAAACATCTGAAAAACTTATTTTCAGTAACACAACAAACGTCAAACCTTTTTATGTGGGACTAGACAAACTCTTAAGTAATCGTCTTCTGTAAGTTGGCAAGGCCGATGATCAGACAAAACAGGACCTTTTGTTTCCGTATCTCTAGTTGATGAACACCCCACTATCTCTGAAGGTGTAAGAAGGAATCATTTCCACATGTAAAGGATAAGCATTCAGCTCATAGACACTAGCATGAATAAATTATGAAACTGAATTCATTCCAGTAATTTTAAGTATTAGACTAAAATTTGAGAAACTATATTATGAAATCTACTAACAACAATGGTTATATAGTATTTTTTTTATACTATCAGAGAAACAAACATCTTGAAGCCAAAGTGTCAGATAAACTGGGAGAGAGGGACTATCAGTTTATTTGTTCGAAGTTTTTGAGCAAGTCTTTTCATGCCAAGTGAAGAGGTCAAAGGATGAAAAAAAAAGGTAAGTAGACCATGTACCATCTTATGGTATAATTCGTTGGACGTTTATTTAAACTATAACATGTTACATAAAAAATATATTAATCAATTCTCTTAGTTTCGGATTACAGTTATTTGAACATAACTTCTATCATACACCATGAGATATGTGGAATGTGAATCAGGAAGCATTTCAAATGTTTTTGTAGAAATGACACCAAGTAGCCACTATAAAGTGCTTCTATTTAGGAATTCGCCAGTGCGTCCAGAATTTCAATTTTTCAGTTCAATTTTTCGGGACAAAAGTGTTCTGGATTGTCCTTGCCCCTCAAATTTCAACTGAACATTCCTTGAGAAATTTGTAGCATCAAATTCCTCATATCATACTAGAGTATGGTGTTAGCATTTAGATTTTGGCATGTAAAGTAGCAAATTTTACTAATGTGTGCAGTGTACCTAAAGCACCATTGTTACACCATAAAATGTAGATAATATGATTATCCAAGTATTTAAGCAATTGTCCAACTTTAAGAAGTCACCCTTTTTAACAAGATAGAAAGTAGAGTACTAAGAAACTCATATTGGACACCACTCCCATAAATTGCGAGGGCCACAAAGCTAATATGTTGTTAGTTTGTGTGTGTTCTAGATCGACAACTGCTTTAGATACTAAAATTTGATGCTAAATTTTTCAACTTCTAAAATTTCACCGTACCCACATATCATATTCACATCATGTGCCCAAAGCCTTAATATTTAATTCTCTCTAGATCATTCCTTAAGTCTTTGTTCTAACAGTTCGAATCATTTCCTCACACTTCCAACCAAAATTAGCCACCCCCAGTTTTCAAATTACACATCAGAGGAACGTTAATTTAAAATGCTGAGTCTCAACATTGCATATTCACATCAAAGCCTTAATATTTAATTCTCTCTCGACCATTCCTTAAGTCTTTGTTCTAACAGTTTGACTCATTTCCTCACACTTCCAACCAAAATTAGCCACCCCCAGTTTTCAAATTACTCATCAGAGGAATGTTAATTTAAATTGCTGAGTCTTTGACAGAAAGAGCAATATACATACACAAACACACACATAAGAAGAAATTGATTTAGAAGCCAATACAATCAAATAAAAGTTCTTAGAAAAAAATTAGAGAGCAAGTAATATGAAGAACAACAGCTATTCAAATTAGTTGCAGCAAGTTAACATATCCCAAATGGTTGAACTTTAAATTTTTTGTACATGATTCTTCTTCCTTCGCATTTCTCAGGTAATAAAGGCCTTTATCCGTTAGGTGGTACGAGTCGTTATTACCAAGGCATGCATTAGAACTTGCTTAAGGTACGAAATCAGCTCGGTCTTGTTACTGATCGGAACAGTTTCTCTTAACCAAAGTAAACATTTGTCACTCTATTTCTAGAATTTTCAGACCAGATCACAAGATTGCAATTGTAGCTTTTGATTAGAAATCAATACAAACAGAATAACAAGAGAAAATAGCCCGAGTCCAACAAAAAAGGCTTTAGCACTAATGTTTGAAAGAAATTACCATGTTTAGGTAATCTTATGTATTTCTGGAACTCCGATTCCGCGGGCATCTCATATGGCATTTCTTCACGAGTTTCATGCCATGTAACCTATAAAAGAGTACATCTATTATTCCAGTAAAAAGAAACTTCTATATAGATACATCTATTAAAATGAAAAAGGATCTCTAATAAACACAACAATCATACAGCTGGAAGATCAGATATAGCATCACGAAGAACAAGGGCTTCCTCAAGGTCACCGCGTGGTTGTCCTTCATCATAAGCAACAGTATTCCGCTGCAAGAAGGAAATCAAATGTAATAAATGCAGCATCAATATGAAAAGCCCGACTTACAGAAAGTAGAAAGAATAACACAAGTTCTCAGGCAATAAAGGCAGTGAAAATGTAAAGGATACCTCAAATTCAGGCGAGGGCCAATATTTAACAATCACGTCGTGTGAAGGAAGTGGAAATGGGGGCAATTTCTGAACAAGAGAAAGAATAATTGAGATTACTTGAACATCGCATGGATGTAATCACCAACTATCGCCTAGTATATCAACATGAATTGAGAATTTTCTACCAAATCCAGTTTAAGATCTTTACTGTTCTTTTAGAGAAGAAATAACCATTCCTTTAGAAATAACTATTCCTTTTGTTCAGTAATTCTGATGACAATAGGCTAATGTACCATTTTTTTATATGTTTACTGAATATACTCACCTCACTCGGAAGTGCACCCCAAAAGAAAACTCGCAATCGAAATTGTGGGAGACCATAACAACCAGCTGCCATAGTTCCCAATCTTGCTTGGTATCTCATATGTACCAAACGACTTAAAGCATATCTTCCAAGAGATGCTTTATCAAACCTCAGTATGTCAGCCACATTTTCCATCAACACATATTTAGGCCGTAAGAATTCCACGACATCCATAAAAATAATAATTTGACGATTTTTCTCATCAGACAATGGGTCGTCAACATTTCTGTGGCGATTGTATCCACTAATGCCCTGGCAAGGAGGACCCCCACATATCATATCAACATCACCCTGCAAATATATTTAATCAGGACGGGAAATTAAACAGGGATAATGATTCCAATGCCATTTAGTGGAAATCATTGCAAATGCAATTGAGGAAGTAACTTACTGGTAGAGGCAGAATTTTCAATTGTTGCCCCCTTCTAACAAATTCTTTTATGCTGTCTTGGCAATTTCTGAGAAAAAATAAGTGAAGTGCACATGAAATTGAGGATGTGATGAAAATGTATAACAAAATGTAAAGATCTTCTGAATTTTCTTAACCTCAGAAACTCCTTTTTTTTCTTATTTCAACTTTTGGGAACATTCAGTGTGAAAATCAACTGATCTGTTTCTTATATTTCGAAGCTGATAGTACTTCTAAGATTCTTCCAAAACCAAATATGATAAAGGAGAGTGTTGAGAGCTTGGATATTCAGAAAGAGAAACAGTGCTTCTACATTAACTAACCAAATTTTTCGAGCAGCCAAAAATGAAAGATACTAGTAAAGTATGGAAGAAACAATATTTAGCAAGTACTTACTCCAAGTTCTCAATTGGCTCCCAAGTATCTTCACTTGGACCATAACCTTTCCACCGCACCTATAAGAGTACCCCACAAGAAGAAAGCATCACCAGCGATATCAAAGCTAAGATCAACAAACAAGCTTGTAGTCTAAAACAGTCAAAATAAACAATAGAGAAAGTCAAGAATTAAACTTCACTCCTCCAGCAGTTAAATCTCATGGCTTCCGATAATCACCTAACACATTAACTTCAATTCGGATCCGCTTCTCTTTAAACAACTCAAGGTTTTCTAGGATTAAACTATGAAAACCAACAATATATGAAAGAAAAGTTTATACCTTAAAATGCAGTCCAGATTTTCCTTTGTTGTTCGGATCCCCGTAACATACGTCAACCAATCTTAATACCTCGTATTCTCCAGAAGATGCCTTAGAACCAGCCTGGAAATTATCATTGTTTTCACCTTCATCTGCATCGTCTAGCTCACAATTTGAGCTTGTTTTGAAGTTACTACAGCCATAAGTTTTAATTAGCTTCTCCCATCTTTTCAGTAGCTCTAGAAAATCCTCAACAGCTTCATTCCTAACCTAAGAAAAATGTTAACTATGATTGAATATTAGCTCAAACACAATGATAACCTCTCTCATGACTGACACAAAATAAAAGCTTACATGTGTCTGAGGATGATTCAGTTTCAGGCTATCACAGGCAGACCTATTAAAATCAACTGCCCATTTCTAGAATAAAAAAGAGAAATTTCAGACGCATAACTTAAAAGATATTAGATATGAATAAGAATTCTATTAATTACCGTCACAAGTTTAAGACCAGAGAGTTTGGTACCAAGGCACAACCCCATAGACATGCCACCACAACCAGCGTATAGATCCAATAATGACAACTTCGCTGTCATAGGTTCACAACTTGGCAATACCTCCAGAGGATATGTAGTGATAGGCTTATATGAAGCATCAACTAACGAAGGGATAACCAAGCTCTTGACTGGATAGTCCAAAAGAAAAGCAAAGTTTTAATCAAAATTGGTAGAGAAAAAATAGATACGGGTTAGGTACGATTACAAGCTGTGCTACAAACTGCTGCAAGAAGTCCATTTATAATAACAGCATGGTACCATATGAACTGCTAACCAAAAACTACAATATTTGAACTTGTATTGGTGGATCATAAAGATACAAGCCATTGATACAGACGGAAAGTAGGATGTTAGAAAATTTTGATGTCACTAACAAGTAAGCTACAAAAGGTAACTTCACATTCAAGATACAACTCCAACATCTTAAGCAAGAAAAACTTGACATTCATGGACACTTTGGAAAGCTCCTTTTGCACAATAGTAGCAATGCCATTAACCCTTAATTATAAAGAGTCTACCTGATTTCACTTGCCACCACGTGGCATCAACTAATGCGAATCCATACTCTGGATCAACTACTGCTATCATTCTCGATATTTTATGTCATTTCTAATATATAAAAAAACAAGACCAAATATACACAACGTCTCAATCTGACTTATTGTGATCTAATACATTCTTACTCATCATTCTCAGAAGAAAGTGACACTTATGCAGCTCGCATCTCATCCTTAATGTCAATAGAAATTTCCTTATGGAAGTTAAATTTAAAGCAAATAATTGATAGAACGGTCATGTTCCTGAAAAACACTGCAAATGGAAGTCGTGAGCATCAAATGGTGCCTATTTTAGTAAGACTTATTACAGAAGGTATACGTCATCAGGTGTTTTCTCACGTTGTTTGAGCACATAGGACAGTACAAGATTATCTGTATCAATATAACTTACCATTATCCAATGTACGGAATGTGGAATAGTCAACACAGTATTCCATGTCGTAATAAAAGTGAGCAGGTGGAACATCCTTTGTATTCAAACCATTCTGCAGTAGTAACAAAATTGCAAAAGATTCAAGGAGCAATCCTCAACCACAAATATTAAGAGGAAAGAGCAGAAAAACAAAAGAAACAGCACAGTAGTCAATAGTGAACAATGGAACTAACAAGAGTAATCTTAAGCAATTTTAACAACAGGAAAAGAATATCAGGATGGAGCATACGCTGGCTGGTAATTCCACCACATTGACTTTAGAAACAATGCAGTCTAGTGGATTATCATTCTCTAAAGTAGAGTAGAATATGCGCTTTGTGTCATGGAAAGAAGCAGCACCTTTCAACACCTGAAAGAATTATGCAGAGAGAATGTCCAAACAAATAAATCAGAAAATAGGCTTCAAATACAATACACTAAGTGAAAGAAAACACTCTTATCAAAAATACAAAAATACAAACCGTATCTTCAGCTCTGAAAAACCATTGTACCCTGAAATAATCTTCACCCTCTGTTGTCTTGAAAAACTCCAAGATCCTGCCAATATGGTTTTTCTTACCTTCACCCTGAAGGAATTGCTCATCAACTTACTAAAGATATTGAGCATGCCTAATGTTATCAAAGTGGTTACAAAGAAAGCTTTGATGTTGTTGTAAACCTAAACAGGAAAACACATGTCTCCACTCTAATAGGTTTTACTTTTAGATGAGATAGTTACACAATTCAACATAGTGGCAGAGTAGGCAAGAGTTCTGGACCAAGTCTCATTGTACCCATCGAAAAAATATTTTCATGTGCTTAGCAAAAAAAAAAAAAAAAAAAGAATAGGCTTACATGTGAAGGGCCATGTTACAAACCTAAAACAAATAAATAGAAGTGTTCCTTCTCCAACGGTTTAAGCTTTTAGATGGTCATAGAATTCAACCAATTCTTATCAGCACCACCATAATCTAAAATATAGGTCACAATGAAAATCTCACAAAAGGAAAAAGATATATGGAGAGATAGCTAATAACTACCTTCACATATGCACAATCTCCGATATTGAAAGTGAAACCAGCAACCTTAGCTTGAGCATAATGGCATTCCACATTTAATATGATTTCATCTTCTTCACCAGCGCTACAATAATGAGAAAGCATAACATTAAGGAGTGAAGACGTGCTACAGACCACAAAAGGTAGAAAAGGGCAACATTTTACCACCGGAAAGGACAAGTTCATATGGTATCACTCACTTTAATTTCCCAGCTTGACGCTTCGTTTTTCGACCCTGCAATTGCCAATGTACATGTATATTCAGAAAGAGTAAAGTTTAATAACGTGTATGCCAGACAAAGAACTAAGTTATTGCTTAGATATCCAAAATAGCTCAGCTAAATCTCTGAGAACACGACACAATAAATTAAATTGGCAAACAAATGATAGTTAGCTTATAGGAGATGGTAGAAGGTTCCAGTAATTATTCAGCTTCTCTGGCAAGTCCTAGAGCCAACCACTTATGCATCCTATATAATCTTATCCTTTGCACTAAAATTTCTAGGCACATCCTTCCTATAAAGAACCAGGATTGAAAGGTGGACCTATCCTTCTGCGTACTAAAAGTTGGTTAGATTTTCAAAGTAGTCCAGCTAATCCCTTGAGAGCACAACATAATCAATTAAACATGACGAATAAATAATATTTAGCTTACATGAGCTAATAGAAGAATCCGGTGATCATTCGACTTCTTTGGCTTATGAAATCCTAAAGCCAACTACTTATGCATTCTACATAATCTTATACTTTCCGGTGAAGTTTCTATGCACTTCATCATATAAAGAACCAGGATTGAGAGGTCCACCAAGAAATCTCTGAGTGTCAGTGGCATATGGTTCGAAACTCAATGGATAATGGACCTACTACTCTACCCTTCACCATTAAGTAGCAAGCTTTTGACTCATGACATGCACTTAACCAATACGCCTCGTGTTTCACTATTATAAAACTAGACCAAAACCTTGAGGTTCAAGAGGTCCACCTATCCTTCTTTTTACATATGCAAGCGAAGGCCAAACTATGTGCATATATTGGTATTCGGAAGCCCAACCACAAAATAGATCACCACAAGCAAGTTATTTCATCTACGAATTTATGAAGATAGTTCTGAAAGTGGAATAACCCAATTAAATATCTTGTGTTTATTTAGATTATCTTTTATCCCACTTTTCCCTTTTCTAGCTAGCACACTTTTGTGATTTAGGCATTTAGCTGGTGTATTCAATAGATTAAGCATTAAAATGTTCTCACAACAAGTTTAAACATTCTTATTGGTTTGGTTTGAGGATATTTTATTTGTGTTATCAACAAGTTTGATTGAAATTTCAGTGTCGATCTTTTCTTAGCGCGGGCCTTGGACTTTTCTGCCTTGTGCGGCTTGCCTAGGGACCTCGCTCACGAAGCCTCGTGTTGTGCAAGCTCTGCCGTGAGAGAACCTTGGCACCTTTCCTTGTATCCTTTAAGGTTTGGATAATATATTTTTCACAAAGAATAGATGTATCCCTTAAGGAACGGAGAGCACCTTTTTACAAATAATAGGAGTGGTCTCAGTGGTGGACAAGATGCGGGAAGCGAGGCTGAGATTGTTCAGGCATATGAAGAGGAGAAGCGCAAATATCTGAGTGAGGAGGTGCGAGAGGTTGGCAGTGATAGGTCTAAAGAGATGTACAGGTAAACCAAGGAAGAATTGGAAAGAGGTGATTAGACAGGACGTGACACATCTTCAGCTTACTGAGAACATGACCTTAGATGGGAGAACACAGAGGCCAAGGATTAAGGTAGAAGATTAGTAGTAAGTCAGGCGATTAGGGTAGAAGGTTAGTAGGTAGTCGAGCGATTTCTCTCCTTTATGTAAGGGAGCATGATTCTAGTTTAGAGCACCTTCACTGCTCCCTCTTCTCCTTACCAGTATTATTGTTATTATGATATCTTTATCATACTCTTCAATTTTATGACTAATGATGTGTCTTTTTTTACTTTGGTTAGCTTTACTATTTTTTTCTTCCTGTCATTACTTTTCTGTTCAACAGTATTTTCATCATAGCTTTTGTACTCTTGTATTGCCAAACCTATTCTAGAAAACACTTTTCTTGAGTCGAGGGTCTATCGGGACAGTCTCGCTAATCCACAAAGGTAGAGATAAGGTATGCGTACACCACAGCTTCCCAGGCCCCACTTGTGGGATATCACTGAGTATTTTGTTGTTGTTGAAGGCAATTGAAAAAAGCTATGAGGTGATAGTTTCAAGAAGTTTGGTCACAGTGAGTCATAGACCCCATTTTACTTTGACAAAAATATCTACATATATAGCGTGTGCTCCTCTGAGGCTTCTTTTTTTAAAATTTATAATGCATGTAACCACCTCAAAATTTGCTTGAGATTTCGGATAAAAATTCAGTCACCTCGCTACCAAACTACCCAATGTCTTTCCCTCTGAATAACTAAACCCAACTCTAGTTTTCTCTCCAATTAGTCCACCTCTTCCTCGTTCTTCAGCACGAGATCCCCATTGCTCCCTCCATCATTCAAAAAAAACTTCAATTTACAACAATTGTCATTGATAACGAGTTAAAAGAAATTGTCTAAGTTAACACTAAAGAAACCCATCATGAATGTTGCTGTAATTTTTTTCTATAGACACGTGAGTAAAGATTGTAGGAGAATCATTGACAGATGTTCTGGGAAATTGTTTTCTTTTTCTTTTAATTCTCAATGTCCTTCTTTGCTTTTGGAAAAATGATGAATAAAATTTCTTCAAGTGAAAACAAGGTGAGGTCAGAAGTCCGGTGGATGAAACCAAACTGGGATTTGGCAAAACTAGCACAAAAAAATTTATCAGAAACCAAAAAAAAAACAAAGAAAAAGGATAGAGGAGCTAAACGATTTTATTGTTACCCTGAGAGAGCAATGGAGAGAAAGATCTCACCGGCAAATGAAATGGGGAGGGGTTCACAGCTCGCCAGAGAAAGAGGCAAGAAAATTGGAATGGGAAGTAGCCAAGGAGTATTAAAATGTTGGGGGAAAGATGAAAATATCCTCATTATTAAAGAGATTATAATGTGCTTGTAAGGGTTTGGAGAATGAGAAAATGGGTACAATGCTAACCTATATATATATACACACACACATACACACCTTACATTCATCTATTATGTTCATTAGTGGTGATGACTTTTTTGTCCTTTTACTTCAAGATCTAAATCCCAGGTCCTCTTTCCTCTCTCTTGCGTTTCCATCCTCTCCCTCGGGCCTCAGTGAAGAAGGAACCACTGCATTTCTTCTTCTTCTTCTCTATATTCGCATAAACTAGTCCATATCTCATGCAGGGCAATACATTAAATTTATCTTATATCTTCCCAAAGAAACTCATTAAACTGGTCCTATTTTCCTCCAATTTTTTATAACAAATAAGAGGAAAATTACTACCGCAAAAAATGCTTTGGATGCACTGGTTGTTCCTCTCGTCATTTCATAATCAAATGAGGCCAACTGTTCGCATATTCGAATAATTGCTGAGTAAATCTTGGAATTTACTAACCATTATCGAAGTGGATCGCTCCAATCCATTCTACTAGAATAGATTCCTGGATCCAATTATCAAACTACAACTATTTAATCCTCCCACTACTGGAAAAAGTTACGGCAATTATTGTTTGAGTTTCAATCAACCGGTCAAACTTCAGAACTTACTGCTAGGTGGTTTGAGATTCATCCATCCATGGCAAACCAGGAGAAAGAAAAGGGAAAAAGAATGGGGGAGGAAGAGAGCAGGTGATGTATATATATCTAGTTTTGCTAACATACTACCTTCCTGAAGTATGTTAGCAATGTACTCATTTTTGCTTTCACTAAAACCTTTTTTTTTTAAATGGTAACAAATTTTGTCCACTAAGATATCCTCTGCCATCTCATTAAAATTAGATACTTAAAGGGCATTTTGGTCTCAATTCCTTGTGCTAACGTAAACGGGTTCCAGCTTGGTCCCACAAAGTGGTTAAAGTACCGATAAGTGATAAGAGCATCTCCATGAGAAATCTAACTCACCCATAAGAAAGGAAAAACAAAGAGACTAAAAGAAAAGCTAAAACCAACACTATGTACCACCGCCAAGGGTTATATCAAAGTGGTATCGGGGCAAGTCTTCCACACATACGTGAGTTTGATTTTCGTTGCTCCATTCTCCTCCCCTCTCCTTCACCTTCGCCTTCCCCTCCCCGGTGTAATAAAAAAGAAATTAAGAAAAAACACTATATACTAAGATCATCCTCAGTGAGATGGCTCAGTAGTTGCTTATAGGATTAACAGCCTGAAGCCACAATTAATTGAGCTATTCATGAGCAAATTTAATCCACGGGCAGATTTATCCAATATCTATGATGGTGAACTTGCGGTGGATTAGTGGAGATATACCCGTGGATTAGTCGAGATACACCCATACTTGCCTAAATACCACACTACCTCAGTAAATGAAAGTAAATTAAAATCAGGGGCAGATGTAGTGTAGAAGTATGGCTTCATTCGAACTAGTAGTTCTAGCTTATACCCTACATATGTGTTAAGAAATTCACTAAATAAGTACAAATAATAAGTTTAGAAACAAGTAAATCAAATAGAATTTGATGGAATTTCGAGCCTATGAGTAAAATAAAGTAAAACAAAAATATGTACAAGTATACCAACCTTCAAGTCGTAACGCCATTGCCACCTCTCTTGAGCTTCCTCTGCAGCTATTGGCTCGCCAATAAAACAGACATTGCTTTTCTGTTTCCTCCCATTTTTTCCCACTGAATCTGATGAATTTTTCCTCTTTTTATCAGATCCTTTATTATTACTATCATTATTAACAAAACCTTCTATTTTTCTTGACCTTAAAGTCCTCTCTCCCACCGAATTACTCTCCGCCAAAAGTTTCTCCGATGTTTTTGGCGATTCAGCTGAAACAGTATCTTTTCTCCGAGATCCTCGGGACTTTTCACCTACATTCACTGAACCATTACTCTCCAGCGTCAGCAAGGCCTTCAATTCTCTCCTTGTACCATATTTACTGGTGGCGCGTGTACCTGACGCGCTTTCTTGTGGCTCCGGCGACAGGGCTAGCTCTAATTCAGCTCCATTTACTAAAACACTTCCCCTGGACGCCAGTGCATCTGGATTTGGTGATGAAAATGATGATTCTTTTTCATCTGGAAAATTTCTGGTAAAAGTGGGTGTAGAATTGTTCTCTTCAGTAGCAGCCATTATTGGCATTGCTAAGAAGAAAGGGTTGTGTTGCAGAGGAAATAGGTCAAATTGTTTAATCTACTATGGATTTAGCCAAAAAGGAGTACTGTTAAGGTTATATAGGTAAATAAAATAAGTTTTGGGGGTGAAAGTGGAAGTATGGGGGTATGTAACGGTAACGAGACATCAAAATGGGAGCGGGGATCTTTTTTTGGTTTCACGATCCGTATTCGGTATTCGGACCCGACTAAATTTGGATTGCACCGAAAAGTTTTACATTAGTAGATAAAGCGTCCCGTTTGTCCATAAAAAAATTCTTTCTTCCCAAAAAAAGAAAAATCAAAAATGTGTTTGTTCCAATTTTTTGTAAGTTCTTGAAAAAAATTCGAAAATAGGTTTTTCAAAAATCAAAAAGTGGTTTTGATCATTTTTCAAAATTTTCAGAAAAACTTTTTCCTCATTCACAAAACTACAACATTTTTTCAAGTGGAATGTATGTCGAAACATAATTTCAAATTTCAGATATCATTTATCAACTTAACTCCAAATACTTCTTTTTTTGAAAAATTACATTTTTTATGTCCAAACGCTAGCCGAATTTAGGATTTTTTTCCTCAATTAGTCGGACCACAAAACGATTACCAAATACCAGATAAGAAAAAAGAATTGTTCAAGACGAAATTATTGTATAAGTTATTGATTAATTTGATTCAATAGTTTTGATTTAGACTTTGTATAATTAAAAAAGTTACTAGATAAGTATAAATAATAAATGGTGAATCTATTAAATTAGATTACATGTGTTTGAAATTTGAATTCATATACTTTAAATTCTAAACATGCCTTTGCTTTTGTTACATTAAATATCAAAGAAGGGAGATTCATGTATAAAAAGTTATAAAAACTCAAGAAAAATTTGTGAAATTATCTTTATAGTTTAAAATGGATAATAAAATCACTCCCACTAATGAATAAAGTTAATTACCTTAATGTGACCAAAAATAATCTTTTGAGTTTATTATAATGGTAAAGTCCAAGAACCATATATGAAATTAACCCTATTGATTGTAAGATAAATATTTACTTGCATTCGATGCTTATGCCAAAATTAAATTATTTAATCTTAGATTAAGAATTAAAATTAAAATACATAAGAGTATAATACTTAACCATGTTACTGGAATAAATGATAAATATGTGTATGAAGGACATATATTTTACATTTATTTGATTTGGTGTAGAATACCAAATGCATGTTTGTTTGTATTTGTGTGTAACTATCACACTATGTTCATCGGAAAATGTATTCAGTTAGGCGTTAGATTGGTTTGTTAACAAGTTATATGGAAATTATAATGCGAGAATTAATAATGACAAATTATTTAGTAGATGTACTTGTACGCATAGGTATTCGATTTATTGGACTAAAAATAAGATAGACATGATATGATATAATTTACGGAAAAGGGTCAAAACTGTCCCTAGACTATTGGAGTTGGTACAATAATGCCCTCCGTCCACCTACTTTGAAAAAATTGCCCTCACCATTATCTTTTCGGCTCAAGAATGCCCTTACGACTAACGGCCATGTTAGATAAAAAAAATTAATTAATTTCCACGTGTCATAACGAAGAAAAGGTCAAAACTGCCCCTAGACTATTGAAGTTGGTACAATAATACCCCCCATCTCAAAAAATCTCCCTCCCCCACCTCCTCCACCCTCCCCCTTCTAGCGTGTTAGCGTTCATATTTTTCTTGTTCTTCTCATCCTTTTTTTGACCTTGCACTCTATTTGAATAATCACTACAAACGTCATTAAAGTTTTATTTTCAGACAACCAAAATTTTTTGTCACCAATACTTTATGTCATACAACTTTCAAAGACCCTGTTAGGCAAAAAAAACTTAATTAATTTCCATGTGTCATCGTCCCATTGGCCTAACTTAAGACTCGCCTAAGTTAAAATAAACTTACCCACCTTCTAAGACCCTTTTCCTCCGTTTCTTTCTCCTCTTTCTTTTCAAAATTATTCCACTAACTAGAACTCTCATACACCCATTTTTTCCCCTAAGCAAACAAAACTCTCTTGTATAGTTAACCACCTTCCTCTTCCTATTTCTTTGTATATTAAATGTACACATCAATACTCCTATTTTTTCCATCACAGAAATATCATTCATCTATCAATTTTTCTTACTACACTTTACTGCTTCATACAATAAGCTCAATCAAGTATTTATTACAGTCACATTCACCAATAAGTCGTATTTTCTCATATTCTCAGGCATATGATCTCAAATATTTCTCTTGATTTAACCGTCTCTTTTTTAAATTTGACGGTGTTGATATAACCTGAAGAGCATCCTCGTACAATAGCTTAATTTATGGACATGGTCGGATGTTCAGACTATGGTGAGCCAATGAAGAAGAAAAAGGTCGAGGTCAGAGCAGAGACCAGATAAATCATTGGTATAATCAAAATTGGATGTAGAGTTGTCAGGAAATATACAACAAAAAATATTGCAAATGCTCAATGATTATTACTATTGACAGAAAAATAACCTATTAAACCATAAAATCTTACAATGAAGCATTAATTTCAAAGAGTACCTGATTTCACTCAGAAAATTGATTTAATAAAAAATGTTAAAATAAAAATTAAATTAAGGCCGAAAAATTTGAGATGGAGAGGGAGATCCGTGGGCGTTGAAGGGTGAAAATCTAAGACGGAGTAGGCTAATAAGTGGATATGGGGTGAGGTTTTAATTTAAGCCAATAGGAAATTAACACATAATAAATAATAAATTTTTTTCTTAATCAAAATAGAGCTGTTAATTTTTAGGGTATGAGTAGGCCGAAAAGTTGACGTTAGGGGCATGAATGAGCCAGATTTTTAACGGTAAGGGCAATTTTTATAAAATAGGTGGACGGAGGGTACTTTTAAACTTAAGCGAAGAGTCTAGGGGCAGTTTTGACCCTTTTCCATATAAATTATGTGTTTTGATTTACATCAAATATACTTGGATAAATTTTTATTTGCGTAAGGAATATAATTTTAAATGACTTTAGGAGAAGAGCCTTTAAGAAGGACATCAGCAATGTGATAAAATAGTTACGAGATTCAATCATAACGGGATAAAATAATCACTCATTTTATTTTGATTTTATTAGGGCCGTTTGGCCATAAACAAATGTCATTATTTTCGAATTCTTTTTACTTTTTTTGAAATTATGTTTGGACATAAAAATTTTTATTTTTACTTGAAAATGCATTTTAAAAATTTTAAAAACTCCAAAAAGTTATTTTTCAAATTTTTCATTTCAGATCTCTCACATAATTCAAAAATAGCCCAAAATTGTATTTATATTCAAACACAACTCTAATTTTCTAATATCATTTCACTTTAAAAAAATCACTTTTTTGAAATTACAATTCTTATGTCCAAAAACCTACTTAGGAGTTGTTTGGCCATACAAAAAATTTCACTTTTTTACAAAAAAATTTACTTTTCTTCTCAATCAGCGTTTGGCCATAAAATTTTCAATTTTCACTTGAAGATTAATTTCGGAGATTTTAGAAAATTTGAAAAACTTCAAAAGGCTATTTTTAAAATTTTCACTTCAAATCACTCACAAAAGTTCAAAAACAGCCCAAAATTATATTCATGTTCAAACCCAGTTCTAACTTTCAAATATTAATTTCACTTTTTAATAAAAATCATTTTTTGAATTTTACGATTCTTATGTCCAAACACCCACTTAATATACGTTATCCTTAAACCAAACAAGAAATATATTTATTTTTTTTAAAAAAAAAGTGAACTGTAAAGTGGAGAAGGACAAGTGCCCTAAACCAATCACATTTTGCCTTATAAACAGTGCCTTTTCCTCCTTCCCCACAATGTGTAAGCATTTGTCAGAGTGATATAAAATTTCTGAAGGAGCGCGTGGGGGAAAGTTAAAAGTTCAAAATTCAATTAACACTGTGCTCTGACTCAAAACTGGATTACGAAATCTAGTCCAAAATTTGGTTTCAAAAATTTTTGAATAGCAAATTCAGAATTTTAACTTTTTGGTCAGATTCAGATTCAGAAGCAGTTTACGGTAATTGGCCTGTAACTGGACATATGGCACGTTTAAATTCCTCCTTTGGGAATCTAATTCATCCTTTTTATAAGTCAAAATTTCTTTTGCACCCTCCCACATTGCTTTTCATTTTTCCTTTTTGTTTTATTCTTTCTTTATGTGTAATACTTTCATTTTACGTTGTTTGTTATCCCCTCCGGTCCAAAATAAGTGATTTTTTGGATGTTTTCACACGAATTAAGAAATTCACCTTTTAGCATTAGTTAGCAATGGAATTGACCATATTAACCTTTACTATCTCACATAAACACTCATAACACATATTCCAACAATATTTACTCCAAGGACAATGTAGGCAAAAAATAATTACTCCCTCAAGCTTTCATAAAGTAAGTCAACTAAACACATCATGTTGACATGGCATATTGTGTGTTTCTTAATCCAATTTCAGCGCGTGAATGACTTAAATGACTAACTAATATTTACCCCAACCCCCACACTGACGGTCCATCAAACAGCCAACCCAAAGTGTCACTCCGGCCACTGTACCACCCAGCAAACAACTCACCGTCCACCGGCGAAAAGGCACTCAACCATCTTTTGAGAGACCAATGTGACTTTATAAAAAAGTAGCTAAATTGCTCATGTAGAGAAGAAGTTGGGCACGAGGGATGTTGTGGTCATTAGCGACGTCGGCGGGGGATATGGTGAAAGTAGCGGTGATTAGGAGAAGAATAAAGAAGATGTAGTCAGCAATGAGAGAGGAGTGGCGGGGAAGGAAGATGGATAAAAGGTCTTGGGTTGTTGTAGATTCTGGTTTTTGAGTAAAACCCCAATGTTGGGGCTGATGGAAGAAAATAAAACCCCAATGTTGGGGCTGATGGAAGAAAATGGCAGGACTGCTGGGCGGCGGTTTTGACCATTTGAGCAAAACCCGATTTTGGTTAATGCTCAATGAAGGAAAGGGATCTGAAGGAGATGGTAAAAAAAAAAAAGAAAGAAAAAGG